TAACTGTGCAAAGTCATTTCTTGTCAAACCTCCATTTTGAAGTCCAGGGGGAATCAAGGTTAAAAAGGACCACAGTTTGCAAACCTGCTCTTTCAGGGAGAGTATAGCTCATCTGAAAACAGACTGACCCTCAGTCCTTGAATCCAATTTGCCAAAACCTCTTCCATCTTTTCTGGATTTTAGTCACTTTATCAAAGAAGGCATTAAGATTTGTTTGGCATAATCTGTTTTAACAAACTAATGCTGGCTTCTAATAATCATCTTTTTCATTTCTGGATGCTCACAAATCTATTGCTTGATTATCTTTTTCAGGATTTTCCCAGGTATTGATGTCAAGCTGATTGGTCATTAGTTTCATGGATCTTTTATTTCCCTTTTTGAAGATTGGAACCACATCAGCTCTTTTCCAGTCCTCTGGCAGTTCCTCCATGCTCTAGTCTCGGAAGTCTGAAAGATTTTATTCAGTGGTTCTGAAATCACATCTGCCAGTTCCTGCAGAACCTTGGGATGTAAAACATCTGGTCCAGGAGATTTGAACTTGTCCAAAGTAGATAGGTGTTCCCTTACCAAATCCTTGCCTATCTTGACCTGCATTTCTTTTCTATCTGCCAGGGTGCTGCTTTTTATAGGTTGGAATATTTTTTCCTGAGCCTGTATTTGCTTGCTGCATTGGTTGTTTTATAGCTGAATGCTCTTTCCTTCTCACCACTTCTTTCCTTGTTGTCTTGGAGTTTATGCTTTGTATTTGAATGTAAAAGTTGACCTCCTTTTCCCTCCAGTTTTAGTTTAAAGCCCTTTGGATTAGCCAAGCAAGATATCTTCAACATCTTCAAATACATTCTTTCCATTCCTTGTGAGGTGCAGCCCATCTCTTGCCAGAAGCCCATCGTGTAGATAATGTAAAGCAGATATCTAAACTTCTTTCAATGGCATCATCCCATGAGCCAACAGTTTAACTCTACAATAATCTGTTCCCTCAATGGATGTTGACCTTCCATCAGAAATACAAATTAAAAAAATACACCTGTGTTCCTAATTTTTTGCTTTCCTATCCACCTCAACATGGAAGAAAAAAGTGTTGACTTGATTATCTGGGTAAGCTTCTTTAAAACTTATCTAATCTTTGTACCTGGGACATAACATATTTCCCTCAACAGGTTGTCTAGTGTACAAACTGCGGTTTTGTTTCTCTGAGAAATGAGTCACTAATCACCACCAAACAAATTTTTCTTTTTGGGGAACTCAGAGGAACTATTTCTGTGCTTCTAATGTGACTAATTTAAACATATATACCTATCTATATGGTTGCTAGGAGTTAAAAACAACTTGGTGGAACATAATCAATTTTTAAAAATTGCTATTTCTACCACATCTACCCACAAAGATTTAAACAAGGATCCTTTATCATATTTGGGCAGCGATCTCTTCACCCAAATTGACAGAATGTTACCTTCTTTGAGCTAATTTTGGAACAAGATCCCATATAGGATGATCTCTGCACCTCTGGATTAGTTTGTACAACAGTTGATCTTTCTTTCTTTTTTAGTGTTCTTTGGGTAAGTTTACTAGCTGTCTGGCAAAAGGAGGATATGTCCCTCCTTTTTGTCCTCATGTTCTCTATCTGGCAGGCATAGCATTAAAATTAAAAATTGTCCAGCTTTTGAGTATCTAACAAGCTATCTCTTTTTGAGCAGATCTTCTCTGTGGCATAGTATTTCCCCGATGCTAATCAGAAGTTAATAAGCTCAGCTCTGTGATCTTAATTAGTTCATTACTGTCATTCCCTCAGCAATTTGGTGTAGTAGTTAGCACTCTAGAGCCAGTTAGTACCAGTTAGCAGCCATTAAAAATGCTAGAGTCAGTACACCGGAGTGATTAAAGCACCAGACTAGAAATTGAGAGACCCTGAGTTTTAGTCTTGCCTTCGGCACAAAGCCATATGGGTAATCTTGGGCCAGTCCCTCTCTCTCAGCCCTTGGAAGGAGGCAATGGCAAACCACTTCTGAAATCTTGCTAAGAAAACTACAGACTAGTCTGCAGGCAGTTGCCAGGAGTCAGAAGACTGACTGAAAGCGCATGCACACAAACACACACACACACAAGTCTCCTGGGCAGCTTGCCCTGCTGCCTGCAATTGTTAACCTGCTATAGCACAATTTATCTGATTGAAAAACCAGTATTTCTGATGCTAGAAAAGTGATTTGAGATACATAAAGAACTAGATAGGCACTTTTTTGTGCAGTTTTAAATTATAATTTTGTTGAGGATATGAAAAAAAGTTAAACAGTTAATGTGTCTTCCTTTCCTGCTATTTGCTAGCTACTGGAGATATAATTCTTCTTATGTTGCTGACTATTCTCGTCTGATAAATGTCCTCTCTTACTTTGTGTGGGAACAAAAGAGCTACTGTAATTTTCATGAATTTACATCAAACTACTGCTCATTTATAGTCTATTTTTAAGGATAGGGATGCTATAGAATCTTGATTTTGCTTATCTATTTTTAATTATAATGTCCTCCTTCAGACACTTTCCAGCCCTGCTCTGGGATAGGTAACCTGCAGCAGTAAAGCAGCCCATTCCACTACGGCTATGCCACTATGCTTCTCCCCCCACCCCACCCCCAAATCCAACCTGTCTCACTTCCTTGCCAGCATATCCGCTTCTGTTCACTTGCTCTTCCCAATTATCGTGTTTGGGTAAAAACTTTTTATATCCTTTATTTTCCAGTTTACATATCAGAATATTACAACACATTATAGAGGTTGAATAATTGTGTGATAGAATGGCAGACAGTGCTTACCTGCTGCATTCTGTCACAGAAATCATAGGACCTGAACAACAGTTCTCTAGCACCATCTTCTGGAAAGTGAACCATTGTAAAATAATGCCTTTAAGGCTCAATAGCCCAATTCCCAAGCCTAGTAAGTCTCCATAGTAGGAAATCCTTTTTATTAGACAAGTATCATTTCATGTTATGCATTACTATGTATTGACCGATGCCACAAAGATGTGCAAAATGGATGTTTTTCAACTATTATGTTTTATACATGCTGCATTTTAGGAGTTATACTCTAGAGGTCATGTCTTTTAGAGTTTGGGTGGGGTATATAGATTTTAAGGGTCTTTGTCTTCCTAATCTCATCAGCTTCCAGCTTCCCGGCTCCATCCTTTCTGAGAGGATTATCACATCTGCTTTTCTACAGACCTGATTTCTGCTTGGGGCAGAGAGAGAGGGAGTTGGTTTCTGGGGGCTGGTTTTGTCTTAAAATTTTTCTCCATTACCCTATTCCTTTTGGGAGATACAATATTCTGCTTTTTTATAATATTCCCCAAAATATTTCTTTCTCTGGGGGGGGGGATGCTATCTTCCCACAGTTGAAAGTGACTTCAACATATCCAGCATGAAGGAATAAGACAGTAAAATCTTTAATGTTTTTCCTCACAGCCAACTTTTGGAAGTAGATTTTCAGTGCTTTTACACTGAAAACCAAATAAACTTCATATTGTACATCTGATTGCTTAAATCTAGTATATCGTGATTACATGACAAATGTGAAAGAATTTGTTTCTTAAGTGTGTAGCAACATAAAGTTGTTTTTTTTCACCATGATGCGCTAACATTATACTGACATTTAGGAATCAGTTGTTGCCATTCTGCTACGTGAGAATACTTAAAAGAATATCATCAGAGATACCATGGAAGATAGAATGAATCCTATTTTGCCAGTAGAATGCTGTTTCTTGGAGTGTTTTCAGTGACATTATTCTCCAGATAATGTGATATTTTGATGTCTAGTTTTTGTAAGTTCATTTTCTATGAAGTATATAGGGTTTTCATTTTGTAAGCTACCCAGAGCCTCTTGAGCAGGCACAATTATGTATAAGTAAATAACTAAATAACATTAGCAATACACGTATGCCATTTTTCATTTCTTCACAAATTTATGTATTCTATTTTTACTTAACATAATGAAGAACAAGGATGCTTACTGGGAGCCAGCCTCTAAAAGCCAAACCAATTTGCAAGAAAAAATTATTTATAAAAAAAAAGAATTTGGAATATTTCTTCCTAGTAACTTCAGTTTGTCTCAGAAAGGATATGGAGAGTAAACTTTAAAAGAAGAGGGAGTGAAGCCACTATTTCTGCAGTTAGGGTTGTAGTGGAGTGCACAGACCTTCACAATTAGAGAAATGAGTCCCTTCCCTTGGTTCCCTAGGCTCCACTTTTTCTTTCATAAGCAACTATCAGATGCCAAGTAACAGAACAAGCAGCCTTCCCCATCTGTAACTTTCAGCCACTTGTTTTTCAGATGAGGGGCAATTCTTATTTATAGGGCAAAGCAGGAAAGCTTATTGTATTCAAAGGTTTTCTGTTCTTTTGGATTTACACAGACCAGATCTTACTGGGCCTGATTCTCACAAGACTAGCTCTCAATGAGCAGTTTCAAAAATACTTATATAGACTGCAGCTTTTAGAGAATGCAAATATGAAGTCAACAAATGGATTTCAAAAGAAAGCATAAGCAAAGATGCATGCCTCGAAACTCTTCATTATTTTTTCCCAACAGAGCTGAAGCATAAACTACCCATCAATTCTCACTCCCTTTTAGCTCATCGCAGAATCTTCCTCTTTCCTATCTGATGAGCAGGGGAAAGATTAACTTTTTATTTACTACTGCATAGGGCCCAAAGTATTGTTACCACCCAAAAAAGATTTTGCACATGCGCCTTGCAAGCGTTCTGTTTAAAATGGGCAGAGCTAGGAGAGCGGCCTGCTTCTTTACGCAGATCATACCAATATATCTATGTTGAGAAGGGGGACGAGTAGCCTACATTTTTTACTCTATTGGGTGCCCATCTTCCCTGCTGATTTTCTGTAGAGCCATTAAATTAACGTGACCCTTTATACTGTGCACTGCGTAGTCAAACAATAACTTTTTTATATGAACTATTATGTGAAACGAGGCCGAAACTCCCCCCCCCTCTCTTCAATGGTACCTTCGGCTGACAGTGGTCACGTCTGGAGGAGGCGGGGCCCCAGCTCCCTTACGCTGTCCCCGGCTCCGGCATCCGTGTTGTGGTGCTATCGCTGCCTTCCCGGGTAGTTCGGCTTTGGTCCTGTTGAATCGAATCTAACCCCAGGAGCCTCCTTCAGACGGCTTCATGGCGTATAGTCAGGGAGGCGGCAAGAAGAAAGTCTGTTACTACTATGACGGTGAGAGAAGGGCTGAGCGGGGTGAGGCTGCAAGGAAGGGGGTGTAATGTGCCCAAAGAGCTGCTGTCCTTCTGTCTGTCCACTTCAACCCCCTCCCCCACGCCAATTTTATCGTTGAAGGGTGTTCGTTGGTTGCGCTCCTCACATCGCCCCTCCCATACCCTCTGTCCTCGCGCGCCTTCTTTTTTTTTTTCCGGCGCACGCGCCGCAGGCAGCCCCTCCCCCTAATTTGTCTGGTGCTGTTGCTTCTACCTATTGTGTCTGCAGAGCGTGCATTTGGATGGGACGCGGCTGCTGGTCTCACAAAAGGTGCTTTTTTTTCCCCGAGAGGCGACTGGACTTGGTTGCCTCTTGAAAAAGGGACAACCATGATCTGGATTGACTGAAAATCTCCATAGACAGCTGCTCGTCTCGTTTGTGATTTCTGCCCTCTCCTTTGGTTTTTTTTTTTTTTTTTAGTCTTTCATTCTTTCTTCAAATCTGCACCTCAGCTTATAGCTATTTTGTAAAGTCCCTTTACCGTTCCCGTTTTGTCGTTGCGACTCACATATAACTATAAACTCAGAAATAAACGCGTTCATTGCAATGGGAATTGCTGTCCGTGGCGTATGGGACGGAGAGTCGAGGCTGTAAGGATCCGTAGAAATAAACTCACGTTAAAACGCAGAGCTCCAATATTGTTCAGGGTTTTGTTTTCCTGATTCGTGCACTCCCCTCCCAATAGAATGCAAAATAGACATCACTGGCAGGGAGAATCGTTTTAATTACAGGATATTTTCCTGATCATTAAACAACCATTTTTAATGTTGGGCAATGAAAGATTGATACAAATTATAAAAGTTTTCACATTGTTTTTTTTTAAAAGGAAGGCAAAGATTTTAATTCCCATTAAAAGGATAAATGTAAGATTGTCTCCCCCATGAAAAAGTACATGAGAAAACATCAGAGTAAGATCATTACAAGATAAAAACATTATGAAACTCAAAAATTAATGATGCACTTCAGATACTTTTATGTAGTACAAAAAAAATCAAAACTATGCTTTTGGGGAATTAGAATATATAATGGGACTTTTGAGCTAATCAGTAGAAGATCAAATATTTTCATTTGAATTTTTCCAGTACTATTTTTTTTCCTGAGATGAATTGATCAAACCTCCCAAACTAAAAGAGTAATAAAACTATCTGCTTGCAAAGATTCCAAGAATGAGCAAAAAGTGTATATTTTTATGAGAAAAATTACTGAGAAATTACCTGTTTAGAAGAATTGTTAAAATCTTAATTGAAAACAAATATTCTCAAAGTAGAATGATTCTCACAATATGAATACAGTGATATGAGATACATGTAGCTGCTTTTTGAACAATGAGAAGAGGGCACAAATTAAAGATAGGCTGTTCCTAATGATCATGCTGAAATGTTAATTCTCCGGTCCTTGAATCTCCTGAAAAGTATTTTGCCATAAACTGTGTTCTCTGACTACTGACTCCTATTCTGCCTCAGGAATCAAACTGACAAGTGTTGCTGTCCTTATACTTTCAAGAAAATCAAATGTAGATTATTTTAACTTCGTTTTTCCTCTTAGTTTTGGCTGCTAACCAGAAAAATACTCTCCTTAATGGTAGTGGGGCAGGCTTGAGTGAACATGGGTATGTACTGGGATGTAAGATTTAGGTATCTTTCATATTGCCTGAGTTATTGACTCTTTGTCATTGTGACTGGTTAGTCTGGCTATCTGTGAACATGGCTCTTCTAAACGAATGTTAAATCTATGTTAAAAATAACCCAGACAACATGTTGCAAGATTCACTGTTTCTTTTATACTCACTGTTACTGTTGCTCTTTGTCTTTTTGTGATGTTTATTGCTACTTGCTCATTCTGAATAATGCATTTTTCTGTCACTCAAAGGTGAGTAAGAGTAAATGTCTAATATTCTTTCAGAAATGCAGGTTAGCATACTGGTTCATAAAGGAGCCTATATAAAACTTTAAAATATCTTCAGAAATCACCAACCTGATGTACTAGAGGCAGTTGCCTCTGCACAGCCTATCATGTAGCCCAGTGGTTCTTAACCTTTTTGAACAAATTGCCCCCTTGAGCCAATGAGGAAGTTGTCATCGCCCCCCTCCCCAACATAATCTCTCAATCACAACATAGGAAATAATTCTTCAATTTATGCAAACACTTTTTTTGTTTTCTTTAAAATTGTCATCAGGACATATCGATGCAAATAATTTATTTCCAGTCTTTTTCTCATATCTCCCATATTCTGGACAATGGCGCTCTACTGTATGGGTAGAGGCTGCTGTGCAACGTGCATGAAGATAAGCGATGCGTATTCACATATGTACGGCGTTCTGTACTGAAGCTAGCTGGAAGAACATTTGAAAACAATTCAATCCACTAATAGCAAGCGATCTGATGTTTTTCTACGACAGATATGCAGCGATTCACTGTACGAAAAGTCTCCAAAGTGTCCCCAAAACCTCTCGCTCCATCGCCCCATATCGTCCCCTTTTCGTTCCTTCGCCCCCGCGTCGCTCCTTTTCATTCCATCGCCCCCCTGAAAAATGAAATCGCCCCCTGGGGGCCAATATTGCCCAGGTTAAGAACCACTGATGTAGCCAAAACCAAAATAGTTATGTAGCCAGTTGGTAGGAAGCACGCTTGCAGCAGTCTAAAAGGGCTAATAGGAGTTGAGCAGATCATAAGTCTTGACTGCATCAGCAATCACATTGTTAGTGAAGTATGATAAGTTATGTCCACAGTGAAAATTGCATCAGAAAAAGAAACATCCTCTACTTTAAAACTGATAGCTAAAAGCGATTGGGCTAGAGATGAGATTTATGCAATGTCATGAGAACATATCAGTTAAAAATATTCAGTGAACCATGTTCATGCCATGATTAAAGGGAAATGAGAATCAGCCCTATGCTATTCTTTAAAATAGAATAACAGAGTTGGAAGGGACCTTGGAGGTCTTCTAGTCCAATCCCCTGCTCAGGCAGGAAACCCTATATGATTTCAGATAAATGGCTGTTCAGTCTCTTCTTAAAAACTTCCAGTGTTGGAGCATTCACAACTTCCAGAGGCAAATTGTTCCTCTGATTAATTGTTCTAACTGTCATGAAATTTCCCCTTAGTTCCAGATTGCTTCTCTCCTTGGTTAGTTCCATCTGTTGCTTCTTGTCCTGCCTTCAAGTGCTTTGGAGAATAGCTTGACTCCCTCTTCTTTGTGGCAGCCCCTGAGATATTGGAACACTGCTGTCATGTCACCCTAGTCCTTTTCATTAAACTAGACAGACCCCCCAAAAGTAGAGATAATATTGCCAAAATGAAATCCTACAGGTTGTGGCTGATCTGTTTGAATAAGTTGTTGTAAGCTGACATTGTGTAAACTATTTTAGTCTTCTTGTGTTCAAATCACAATGGAAAGAAATTAAAACTTGGGGCAGAAATGTCTTGTATGTTTTATAAGTGAATAATTTACCCAGAACCACAGATTGACAGGGATCATTTTTTTAAATTTTGAGGATAAAGTGTCAGTATTGAAATTATTAATGTAGAAAAATAAAATGTCTTTCCTGTTTAGATCTTACTTGGGGGGGGGAGAGCTTAGATTAATGCAGAGGCTTCCGTACTTTCTCAATTCACAGTGCCCTTAACATTTTAGTAATATTTTTATGATACACCATGGTACACAGTGGTTCCCAAACTGTGTACTGTGGTGCCTCAAGGAAGTTACATTTAAGTAGTAAAATATCCTATGGTGCCCCTATAAATTTGTTAAGGCAGCATTGTGTAATTTAGGAACCACGGGATGGTTTATTAGTATTTTAACTAAGAAATTCAATCTAATGAGCAGTGTAGAATAATCTTGAACATGTACTCACCGTGTTCCTGAAGATATGGGATTGCTTTGAAGTCTGGAGCCTCATTGATATCTAAAAATATGGCAACCTACATAACAAGATCAGTAAATATTCTAACTAAACAATGCCAGCAACTCTGGAGATTAGAAGGGATCAGTCTACATACCAATATCAAAAAGAGATTCAACCAATTACTGTATGCTTTTTCTGTTATTATTTTAAAAGCATTTAAAAACATTTTTTTAAAAGATCAGTAGCAAAGATTCCAACAGTAAAGAAATACAGGTAGTCCTCGATTTACAACAGTTCGTTTAGTGACCATTCAAAGTTACAACAGCACTGAAAAAGGAGACTTATGACCGTTTTTCAGTTACAATCTTTGTAGGATCCCCATGGTCATATGATCAAAATTCGGATGCATGGCAACTGACTCACATTTATGACGGTTGCAGTGTCCTAGGGTTATGTGATCAACTTTTGCGACCTTCTGAGAAACAAAGTCAATGGGGAAGCCAGATTCATTTAACAACTGTGTTCCTAACTTAACAACTGTAGTGATTCACTTAACAACTATGGCAAGGAAAGTCATAAAATGGAGCAAAATTCACTTAACAAATATTTCAGTTAGCAACATAAATGTTGGGCTCAATTGTGTTCGTAAGTCGAGGACTACCTGTAGGTACTTGAACTTGCTATAGGAAAAATGAAAACCTTGGAAAAGATAATCAGAGGTTATGATATGTCTGTACTTACAAAGATCAGAATTGTACAGATAATTGTTTTCTCTGTGACACCACACAGAAGCAAAACTTGGAGTTTGAAGAAGCAGAATAGAAAAAGTATTGACACTTTTGAATTTTGGTATAACAAAATAACAGAGTTGAAAGGAACCTTGGAGGCGTTCTTGTCCAACTCCCAGTATTGTCAAGAAAACAAACAAATTGTCATAGAAGAAATCCATCTTGAGTTCTTACTTGAGATATAAATGACCACAAATTATCATATTCTGAACTCGCTGTATTCATCTCTCGTGGGAAGTCCATAATGCTGGGAAAGGTGGAAGGAAAGAAAAGGTTAATCAGCAGCAAGGTAGTAGGAGCTGATTGCAACAGTAGTGGTCGCACCACTGGAAAACCTAAAGGCTGGGATTGAAAGACATTGTCCTGGAGAAAGTGTCGCTAAGAATCCATGCTAATTTGATGGCACATAATAAGAATTCTTGGAGAAATAGGGGAGCAGGAGTTAGAAACAAAACCTATTTTATATAAAAATTAACATTTTATGTTAAATTTGACTTAGTATTATGGAACTGAGAATCAGAATAATAACAGACTTTTTGAGTCTGATTCATTGTAAATTTACCCCATTCTAACAGTAAAATTGTAATACATTGTTACACTTGTGATGTGGAATGGCACGCTAAGGTGTAAAAAGAAAGTTGATCTGGGTTTGGATTGTTAAAATTGCCTTCAATAATTTCTTAAAAATAATAAAATAGTTTTATTGTTATCTTTATTTTTAAAATCACTATTTTGTTTAAAGAACTTAGGGTAAATATATTAGCTTCAATTCAAATAAATGCCTGATAAGCATTTAAACTTAAGAACTCCATCCAGATCACTGAGCAAAAATTTGCAAATACAGTATAGCTAGGATTATAGACTTAGGACTATTTGTTTAATGACAGTGTGGAGTTTATGATGGCATTGAAAAAAAATGACTTACAATCTGTTCTCAAAGTTACGACTGTTGCACCACTCCCTTGGTCAGGTCATTCCAGTCTTGATGCATGCAACCATTTGTGATTTTCCCAGCTATCTTCTGACAAGCAATATCAAAGGAGAAGCCTGATTTGCTTAATGACCATGGTAAAAATGATTGTAAATGGCTCCTATCATATGATGGCTCACTTACCAATACCACTGCATAGTGACTGAAATTCCAGGCCCAATTGTGTTCACATATCAAGGATTGCTTGGAGGCTAGAGAAGATACGTTTCTCCCCCACATGCAGCATAAATATTCAGCTCTCTATCCTCTCTCTGACAGACTAATAAAAATATTTACAGGCTGGTTGCTTCCCCTCCAGAAGAGAAAATGCTAGAAAACACCAGTGTACTGAAAGATTCAGAACATTGGCCTTCACTAGCTTCTTCACTAGATTTGAGGTCTCTTCTTCCAGTGTACAGCATGATTTTTCTCTCCCTACATGGAGGAGAGGGAAAAATCCCTCAGTGTGTTAGAGAAACACACTTCAAATCTAGTGTCCCTTTTGCTTGCAACCTTCCCTGCTGGCTTCCCAGGTGAAAGGTTTATTTTTCTGGGCAAGCCAGCAGAGAAGATTGCAGATATTCCCATGATCACAGGACCCTTGGCAACCAATTGTACATGTGAACAGGTTGCCAATCCCCCAAATTGCAGTCATTTGACTGGGGAGTATCTCAATGTTTTACAATACTTGAAAGTGCTTTACAGGCCAAAAAGCACTTGTTCCGAAGCTATTGTGACTGCAAACACTTGTTAAATGACCAATTATAAATCTAGGACTACCTATATTGATTAGGATTTAAGAATTAAAAGGATAATATATTTCATCAATTTATACTTTCATTTAATATACTTACTGTTTAACTGAAGAAATTAAATGCAGTTTACAGCTTTTGTTAAATATATCTGTTTTCAATATGAGATGAGAATAATATCACCAGGATTAATATTTGCCTTAGGTTCAAATAATATTTTGTACATTCAGATCACACAGCCCATTACAGCTTTTCACTAGAGATTGAGAGTACTCCGTGGGCATTTTCAGAATGTAGAAGAAAGTATATGATTCTTTGAGAACGTCAAGAACATGTTATGTACATTTTGTAGCCTTAGTCTGCATTAAGATGGTGACGGGAGCAAGTAGTAACATGACTTGTGCCATAATTCTGTTTCAAATACTGTTAAGCCATCAATTATTGGTACTATAACCGTTTCTCCCAGTGCCAGAATATGCAAAAAAGTGGCAATGTTTGCAGTCCTGCATAAAATTCTGAAGGGTTCCAAACCCCAGTGGGTTTTTGGTTTATTTTATTTTAAAGAATGTCCTCTAACAAAATGATATTCAAGAGATGACTGGTGAATGTATCATCAAACTTAAAGCTAGAAAAAAGTAATAAATAGGACTGGTGTTTTTTTTTGTTGTTGTTGTTCTAGGTGATATTGGAAACTATTATTATGGCCAGGGACACCCAATGAAGCCTCACAGAATCCGTATGACACACAATTTATTGTTAAATTATGGCTTGTACAGAAAAATGGAAATCTATGTAAGTATGCATTTATTACTATCACTTAAAACTCAGTGATCAGTGAAAAGAATATAGCCCTACAAATAATAGGATGTACATCTTGAAATTTTAAACTTCAGGCAACTTTATACTTTATTGTGGATCTGTCCTGCCACAACGCTTCAGGTGAGCATTATAGGTAAAGTCTATCTCAGCTACCCTGCACCCTCTCTGACAGGGAAAGAAAAGAGGCACCCAAGATTGTTGGAACTGTGCTTGTAGAAGTTGTGCTATGTAGCAGCACACATTCTGGAGAGAGAGAGAAAGGTTCACTGAGGATGGGCTCCAGCATGAGTCCAAAAGCTTGGAAGACTAAACGTCTGGTCCAGATGACCCAACTCAGATTGGATCCTACAACATTATCCTGGGATGGACATGCATATTTGCCTTCGTTCGTGTAGAGATTCATTTAAAAGGCCCTCAAGAGCAGCTATACTTGGACATTTTATACTTTTCTTGATGGGGGCAGGAGAGATGAAGGTGTTCCACGTTGAATGAGTCAAAATGGGGCTGGAAAAAGAACTCCCGGTATCACCTTGAAAAGGTAAAGGCATCCCATGCAAGGCAGAGATAATTGTTGGTTATACACTTCAGGGAATGATTTTCTTTCTGCTGGAGAAAGTAAAATGATTTTTTTCTATGGACTTCCTGGCCTTGTTCTCTAAAACTTGGTTTTAATTATTTGATATATACTTGATACAATATATGTTTTCTTTTATGATCAAAAATATTTTGTATTTAATCTATACTTATTTCCTACTGTATTATAAAATACAGGTAGTCCTCGACTTATAACGGTTTGTTAAATGACCGTCCAAAATTACAACAGCACTGAAAAAAGTGACTTGTGACCGTTTTTACAGGTACAGCCATTCCAGCAACACCATGCTCATGTGATCAAAATTCATACGCTCAGCAACTGATTCATATTTATGACAGTTGCAATATCCCAAAGTCATGTGATCACCTTTTGCAGCCCTCTGACAAGCAAAGTTAATGGGGAAGGCAGTTTCACTTAACAACCAGATTACTAACTGATCAACTGCAGTAATTCACTTAACAACTGAGGCAAGAAAGGTCATAATATGGGGCAAAACTCACTTAACAAATGTCCCTCTTAACAACAGAAATTTTGGGCTCAATTGTGGTTGTAAGTCGAGGACTACCTGTACATGATATACAGCAACTATTGTACTTATGTGGCAAACCCAAAATTGAAATTATTAATCTATAGTTTAGGGTCTCTGATGAAATATGTCTTTACTTAAAATACTGCTAGCTCTTTTCCTGTAGTACAGCCATGTCAATCTTGTTGCTTATTAGCGCCCCCACAAAGCTACGGCAGAAGAAATGACTAAATACCACAGCGATGAATACATCAAATTTCTTCGTTCAATAAGACCTGACAATATGTCTGAATACAGCAAACAAATGCAGAGATGTAAGTCTTCCATTGATTTTAAATAAAAAATACCATAAGAAATGTTATGGCTTGCATGCAAAGAAAATCTAAGCATCACTTCTAAAGCAATTAATTTTTCTTCAATATTACCTTATTGAATATTATCTTATTTAAGGAAGAAATTTACAAAATATTATTATTACTTATTGAATTTTGGTGTGATCGTTAGCATTTTCATTAGTTTATTTCTTTAATTGCCTGTTATATGGAGAATAATCAAAACTTTATTCAAACAAAATGCTCCTCAATTACCATACTGTAGTTTAAGGACTGAAAGTTATTCAATTGTTCCTTTCTGTTGGGATTCACAGCTTTTTCTCTTTTTAAAATGAGCTTTGAAGCAGTAGTAAACTTCTGTTGGAATAACCATATTGCTTCTAATCACAGTTAACATAGCAGAGGCAGAAAGCAACTATCTCTTTTAATCATATAGTTATTTCCCTAACACCAGTATGAACAGGAAAGGATATAATAAATAAAGGGCAACAGTATGGGATTTGGCAGCATTATTTTTGAATCTTTTTTAATGACAAAGTTTCAAATGCATGAAACTAAACTCATTTAAAATTAAGATTTCACTTCTACAGTTTAGGATTATTATATGCATCAAAGGAGGAAAGCTGCAGTTCTTTAAATTTCCGACTGAATATTTTATTAAGTTCGTTAGAGCAAGATAACCAACAGGTGCAGCATCTATGGTAGTGGAGTAAAATTGTGAAACAAAATTAACTTCTAAAGTAAATGGATACCAGTAATGTGGAATATTAATGTTTTTTTTTTGTTTCTTAATGTCAAGAATTATTAGCACAACAAACCTAAAAATATGTACATGTACCTTGAAACAGAACTTTAGATGATTAATGAAAGTTTCCTTTATTAGTTAATGTTGGGGAAGATTGTCCTGTGTTTGATGGACTGTTTGAGTTCTGTCAACTGTCAACAGGAGGCTCTGTAGGTAAGTTTATTCTCTTTAGTTCGTTCTCTTACTTACTGATTTTTCAAATTTTTGTCAATTAAGTAGCACTAGGTATCTTTTCATGTTCTATGTTCGGTAGACTTTTTAATCTTCATTATTTATGTATTTTATTGATATCTTTATAGACAAAAAAATTCATCCCTTTTAGTTTTAACTTGGTTGCTTGTTTAGTTTGTGATTTTTGTAGTGCTAAGCTACTAAAGTATCTTATTTCTTTTGCCTTCTGTGGGGAATTACATTGCTGAAGTTTGGCAATTTGGCCAACATTTTATAGCGGCACAATGTTGCAAAACTTTGAGGTCCATTAAATTAAACTTGAGTATCGCTTTTAGTCCATGTGTTCACTTCTATTCATAGTAAGATATTTTCACACTAAACTTTTGAGAAAAGTATAGGATAGGTAATGGAATGGTGCTTTTATTGCTAGGTGAGAGAAAATTAATAGAAATGGAAAATAAAGACAATAGAATAAGTAAAAAGCATTAAAAGTGACATACTAAGTGTATTACAGGAGTCCTTGTTTATATCCATTTTTTTCAGTAACTGTTTGAAGTTATAATGGTGCTGAAAAACTGGACTTAAGTCCACTCCTCAAACTTACAACCATTGCAGTGCAGTTTTGGTCACTTGATAAAAATTTAGGCATGTCCACATTTATGACTAGCATTCTCAGCTGACCTTTCTCCCTGTTAGTGTGATTGGCATGTTCTTCCTGTGTGGCAAAGGGATTTCATGGGGGGCTGGCTATATGCTGGGGCAGCTGTCCTCATTGTATCAATGGGACTTCATGCAATGGCAATGGAGCGGTAGCACTCTTTAGTAGAAATAGAGGCTCGGAGGCAGTAGCAGCAGGCTCCAGCCGCTCCAGTATCATGTTTCTGAACAGTAACACTGCAGGACAGCCAAAAGGGCAAAAATGGGGGGGGGGGGAGATTGACAGATGGTGTGGACTTGAAGAGGATTGGAAGAAACAAGGGTCCGGGCTGAACGAAACCAAATTGGGAATGGTTTGGATCAAATTGGATCTTTGCCTAACAGCCTGCATGAGATTCACTAAACTATCATTTCTAAGTGGGGCAGTCAAGTGATGCCTCATTTCTGACCTCATTGCTTAACAATGGAGTTACTTGCCTCAACAATCTGTATGTGGTTTGCAACACAGCAGCAGAAGTGCTTAAAAAAAATGCTGAAATTCAAACCAGAACAGAAATGTGTTAAGTGAAACTCTTATTTTTCTTGCTAGGTACTATGAATTGTCTTTTTAATTTCTGCAAAATATTTTAACTGCATTTTCTCATAATATTTTTTTAGCTGGAGCAGTAAAATTGAATAGACAACAAACAGATATGGCTGTTAATTGGGCAGGAGGACTTCATCATGCTAAGAAATCAGAAGCATCTGGTTTCTGTTATGTCAATGATATTGTGCTTGCCATTCTTGAGTTATTGAAGTAAGTTCCTGGTACAGTTATATACATAACTTACCGCAAAAATAAGTTGAAAATATGAGCCCTGCATTAAAAGTAAGCATGTTGAGCAAAGAAATAGCAGAGTTAGGAAAGGGGGTTTTGGTAGTTTGAATTCTTCCTTTATGCATTCTTTCTAAATTAATTTTAAAATACTATGCTTTGCTCCAAAACTACCCTGACTGTAATCTTATAATTAGTGAAACAGAAAGAAGAGTTATAAGAAGCATTTATCTCCAATCATGTGATAGCTGTAGTATTTCACAGTAGATGATTATTATTAATGCCTTTGTTGTCATGAATGTCTATTATGGGTTAGTCTAATTTATTATAATAGCTCTATTATAATTTTAATATTTTAATAGTTAAATTTGGTTTCAGATATTTCTTGATTGTCTGCAAAGTCAGTGTATCTGTACACTTGATGTTATCATTTTCAATAATTTGTTGATGAATTCATATCACAAAAATCAGCTAAGTTTATTTGTCTCATATAAAAAAGCAAAATTAAGTTACTGTAAGATTAATTCAAAATAGCTATTTTTCAAAATAGCTATTTTTCTTGTTTTGGGTTAGTAAACATAAGTAGAGAAAGTCCATCTTCTTAAATCTAAGATTATGAATATTATCATAAGAAGTTGAAGGTACATGTTATCCATTAAACTATCAGCCTATACTTAAACTCTTACCAAACTCACATATGGTCATAAACACAGATGTGTAGGTGTATATTTAAACAGTACTTTTTCAGGATCTTAAAATATGAGCGCCATATCAAGAAGAAATTACCCATAACCAGAAATTGAAGCTCAGTCTGTGTAAATGTAGATATGCACATTTATTTTCTTTTCCAAAGGATAGAAAGTTTAATTAGTATTACTTAATTAGAATGTCAACAGCTTCACATTAAGCAGTGGCTTTTTTGGGAAGCATCATAGCAACAGGACTAAATTTTAAAGTCAAATATACATTTAAACAAAAAATATAACTATGAAAATTGAGATTCATGGAAGACCTAATTGCAGCAAGCAGATTGAAGATAAAGAAGAGAGAAAGAAATTACAAAAGGAAGTAAAAAAGCAAAAGGTCAAGAAATGGGATATACAGGGGCTTAATATACCTAACCTTATTTTCTCTATCACTCTTACAACCTTCTGCAAAATTCATGCCTTTGAAAATCGGTGTTTTGCTGCCAAATATGTTGGTGGTGTGATTAGGAGGAAAAAGAGTGGTGTGTCTGCAAAAAAAATATGGGACTACCTAATTTAGATTCATTAATTTTAAAAATAAATATTTGGAGAATATTTAAAAGTTGTATGGCTTGGGAAAATGATACAAGGAGGGTCAACAATTCTGGTAAGATTTATCATAGCTACATTCAGAAATAACATGGATATACCTTTCTGTCATATGTAGTATTTTCGTCTATGCAGAATTCAAGAAAGTAGTGTCCACTTTTAAGAATAAGAAAAAAATCAAATAGTGAATTGATGTTAGAATGTAATGCCACATTTTGAATTACACACAAACCCACAAACACACACTATAGAATCTTGTGAAAGGAGAATTTTTTTATCCAGTGCCCCCACCCCAAGCTTGATAGGAGAATTTGCCAAACCTGGGCTTCCATAGTTTTGCTAGATACCTTTTTATTTTACTAATATATATAGAAAATAACCAGCAATAGTAATATAATAAGGAAAACAAAAAATAAAAATATGCAGGCATATGTATAGCACTAAACAGACTTCATTGCAGTCATTGACCAATGTTCCATTAAAAGTAAAATAAAATACAATGTAAAATATTTTTTCAAAAAAATAAAATAACTTACATTATCAGCATGATTCTGTCTAAATAAATTTTAGAAATAATAAAATAGAACTTGGCCACATTCAAATTCAGTCACATCAGTCAGTTAACAGCAGCTGTATGAAGAATATTTTGAATGTCCTGAAAAATTAGTTATAAAGAAAATTACAAAAGATAGCTGTGGGGATTTATAAAATGGACAGCAGCAAATATTGGCCATATTTTCAATTGCCTTTTATCACAAGTATAGAGTTCCTATTTATATTTCCTGAATTTTCACTCAAAAGCAGCCATTGAAAATGTATCAAAATGGGTTAGGTTGATACTGTTCTGAAATTGGTTATGATTATTTGTTTTAAATATTTTGATGGCCATAAAAAGAGGGAGTCAGAAATATATCTCTAAGGCAGACAGATTAAATTGCCGTTTTCTGTACATAATATTTTATTTAAGGCTTGATAAGCCTGCTTGTAAAAGTGCTCTGTGAAAAGCAATTCTAATAAAGCAATCTTCTCCAAATCAATTGAAAACTATTAATATGAGAAGTCCTACACTTAAAGTAAGAAATAGTAGCTGTAACCGATTTAAAACAGTAGATGAGCTTGCATTGCTCTCCACTTAAATCATGCCAGTCTCTAAACTATAGTTTTTAATTTGTACTACAAGTTAAAATGTGGAAATAAAATGAAACACAAGCTTAATATCAATAAAAGCAGTATATAGTGCTAATTTTGACTTGATATATTTTTCAACTTAATGCTATAACCTCTAAAACTTGCCTATTTTTCATCCAGCATATGTTCTGTATTGGTCCAGTTTAAGAGTTGATTTTATAGATACTTGGCATAAAGCTTGCTAATTATATTTAAGAGATTGCAATGCTAATAATTAGTGGGCAACCCTGATTTCCTATAAATTAAGCCTGTTATTTTGAGTTACTACAAAGGATGAAAAAATAAATCATTACCTGAAACAAGATACTTTCCACCATGATGATGGTTGGTGGTTGTAAATTGGTAACAAATATTATTGCAGATGACCTAAAGCCTTTTATTCTTTTTTTTTCTAAAGAGAAAAGGCCTCTTTCACAAGGACTGCCAAAAATTGATAGCACAGCTTCCTTCAGCTTTGAAGTGCAAATATAAAACTGCATAATATAAACCTAAAATAGGCATATCACAGTTAAACTAAGACCCTTACATAATTATATATTTGCAGCCTTAATATACTATTGTCAATATAGTTATGCATTGTGAACTCCCTTTTGTATACTAAATATGCATATAATATTGCATATGCAGTACTGCATTCTATACCATCATCTAGGCTAATATTGGGAAATGTTCTAATATTGGAATTACATGAAGGATAAATATGATTGTATTATGGAACTTAAATCTGCATATTAGAGATAAAGCTATTTTAAATAATTGATTTAATCTGGGATAGAAAACAAAATCAAGGATTTTTCTAACTACGTTTTCCTTTGAAGAAGAGTAGTGAGATTTTTTTCTATTGCTTTACTATTTTTTTTCTTTTATGCCCAGATATCATCAAAGAGTTCTTTACATTGATATTGATATCCATCATGGTGATGGCGTTGAAGAAGCTTTTTATACCACAGATCGAGTTATGACGGTATCATTCCATAAATATGGTGAATATTTCCCGGGAACAGGAGATTTAAGGGTGAGTTCAGTTATAAGCTTATTTAAGATAAGATTTTAGAAATGCTTTTCTTAAGCCTCATTCTCAAGTTAAATTAATTTTACTTTCTGCCTCTGTTTTCCATCAAGTTCATTTAAAATTGAGTAGGATTTACATTAATATGATATCAGTCTGCATTAGTGTAAGTCCAGATGATTATTTTTATACATTTCTGAGAGAGGTACTATACTGTAATGTTTTGAAAGTAATTGCATCATTAGATATGGCATTGGAGGGTACTAACGTTTTAAATAAAAGTAATTTTAGCAGTGATTGCAATGTTCTTCCATCTGGACTCCATTTTCACTTGCAAGATAAATATCCAGAAAACCTCAAAATGGCTGGTCAAAACTAATAGACACCAAGATGCCATTAACATTTTTCAATAATTATAATTGAACTATAGAAACAGTCATTGCTTCATTTGCAAAGATTAGTATGACGGCATACATAATATTTAGCATTAAAATAATATGCCTATATTTTGTTCCTATAAAACATGAATCAATACATTCACTGTGTTGTATAATGGATAACATTGGAGATAATGCTACATTGTGCAACAGCCGTTATTATAAAGGAACTATAGAAATTTGAGTTTATAAACAAGGCAGTATATAGAAAAAAAACAAAGGTCTATTATTAATTCAGATAACCCAGTCAAATCACAATTTAATTCATAATTATTTAAGAAAGTATCCATGGCAAATGTTACTGTATCACTAGAAGCCATTAGACACATTTGAGTCTAGGCCAATACTTGGGTATTATTTTTATTTAGAATCATGCATTGAAAAATTGAATGCCTCCTTTAGAAGTATACTGCTTTTAAAAAAACTTTAAAAGAATAACGTAGAAATACATCACAAAAAACTTAAGACATTGCATTAAATGATATTTTAAGGACTGTTTTGTTGAACAAACTACAATGGTCTTGTTCTTATATAATGCTATACTATACTAATAATTGGGCCAGTATAGTGTTTTAAATTGTTGGACTTAGACCAGACATCCCCAACCTTTTGGGCACCAGGGACTGGTTCTGTGGAGAAAGGTTTTTCTGTGGACTGGTGGTTTTGTGTGGTTTTGTGTACTACCTGCATTCCACGGATGGGGCTTTGCTTGTTTGTGTGGACCGGTTGCTGGCATGCCATGGCCCAGTACCGGTCTACAGACCGGGGGTTGGGGACCCCTGACTTAGACTAAGGAGATTTCAGTTCAAGTCCCCATTTGATTAGAAAGCTGATTAGTTGACTTGAAAGGGCATTGGGGCAAACCCACGTACACAACCTTAAAAATCTTAGAAGAAAGTCAAAATATAAATGCAATAGACATAATAAATCTGGTTCTAATAAAGTTTACTGAGTAGAATAAATAGCTATAATAATATATTTAGATGCATAATCTTGTTCCTCTAAACTGTAACAGTTAGGAAAACAGATAATTTATATTGCCTCAGAGTTTCTTGGTAGTTAATGAATAATATTTTAAAAAGCTTTGAAAAATTTTGGCATATTCTTATTTTGCCAATTTCAGATTGGCTGAATTTTTAGAATCAATAAGACTGTGTTCTGAGATTAGAGAAACCAGGTGATTTTTGATGTCATTAAATGTTAAGACTAATAATGGACTTGATGTTTACACTAATATCAATTTATTTTTTTAAAGGTGGAATTTCTTTCCTTTTACCTTTTTAATAGGAATTAAATACAATAGTTTAATAACTGTAAGATTTTTTTTTCAGTCTGTCTGACCACAAGATGGTACTATTGCTTCATGCTAAACACCAGTGATTTTGAGAAGAAATCACATAATTAAGAATATACTACAATTGAATGCCTACCAAAAAGGGGAGGGGGTTAGTTGATGGTATGAAAAACCATTGAGAAGTCTAACAAGATCTGAAAGGTCACAGCAAACATCAGCCACCAAAGCAGCCAATTTCATAGGTCCTGGCCTGAATCCAAAGGAAGAAGTCCAAATGATCTGTTTCCTCTAGGGGAGTCTGCTCCACTTTTTCAATAACCTACATTTAAAAAAAAAAAAAAAAAGGAAAGGTTGGACATGGGACAATAATGTTTAAAACAAAGCTTTTTGAGAAGTTGACCATTCTGAGTTTACTCTGTTGTTTTTGCATTATTAGGCTTTCCACTGCAAATAAAGAGTAACTTGATTCTGGTGAATACGAATAGTAGCCCATTGTTTATAGGAGTGCAGCTGTTAAAATTACTGAATGAAGGATTTAGAATTTATGTAAAAATACAAAGGAATGAACATAAAAGAATATTATTTTTGTGTCTTTTGCTTAGTGAATTGTGGCACATTTCTTATAGATAAAATAGCATGTGACTTTACGGATCTGACAGAGCAGACCCATGACCTTACACTCTATTCCCAGGTAATTGGTTGTTTCATAAAATCTAAACTGCCTGTATATCTATATTTTACGCCACCCTCATTCTTGGTGAAAGACAGTGTATTTTACCCTGTACAGTGACTTCAAGTCATACTTTGGTCAGATTAAATTACATCCTAATTTTGCTTCTGGGTCTGATTCTTCTGTATTGTCACATGTCTATAGCCTGTTTCTCTGAACATATTTATTTTGAACATTTTTTTCTATTACACAAATCAAACGCTTTATACTGTATGAAAAACCTCATGTAAAGTTTTGGTATAAATTGTATTTATTTTTTATTTAATATTTCTCACATGCTACAATATAGAAGTAATATTTTTAAATCACTTGTAATGGTCAGTGTTGATCTGGAATTAAACTCTTCTTCTTTATTCATGCTTTTCTTATAGGACATCGGAGCTGGAAAAGGCAAATACTATGCAGTTAACTTTCCAATGAGAGATGGAATAGATGATGAGTCATATGGACAAATATTTAAACCAGTGAGTATATTCAAAACACCTTTCAAAACACCTTCAATAGCTGTTGTAGCATTGAATAAAAGGTTTACCATCATTCCTGCTTTTTTATAGATTATATCTAAAGTGATGGAAATGTACCAACCTAGTGCAGTAGTATTGCAATGTGGGGCAGATTCACTCTCTGGCGATCGACTGGGATGTTTTAATCTTACGGTTAAAGGTAAGAGAACAAAGCATTACAGAAGCATCACAGCTGCATATTCTTGAAAACATTAGAAATTTTTGGTGGAAGTGTTTTATGAGTTTTAATTCCCTGAAGAATTCAGCATTATGACTTACAAAGGGTTTCCAGTTCTAAACAATCCCACTTTCCTTTTATTTTAGCTGTATTTTGTAATGGTTATGTAGCAGTATATGTATAACCAGTGCTTTTTTTGTTAAAAAAAGTGGTGCTGGAACTCACACACGTCATACAACCCACTGTGCCTACCCTACAAGGTTCCATCCCAAAAAGGTGCCGGAACTCCGTTCTGAGTGTTGTATGACAAAAAAAGCCCTGTGTATAACCATTGAGTTTTGGTGGGATAATTTCAAAGTATTAATTCATGCTGAAGTAAAAATAGTAATTAAATAACTTATGGTTAAATTGTGATGTGTTTTATATGAATTAATGGGTCCTCTAAGAAAATTTGTATCACCCTCTAAAACTTCAAGTGCCTATTATTGACATTTGTTCATGTATGTAGTTTCTTGTACACAGCATGCAGTTAAAGGGATAATTTTAAAAAGCTGTTCCATTTAGCATTTTCAAATATAATACACTGATGTAGGTCTTGCTTGTCAAATGGCATATGAAGAAACAGATATACATAAACATGCAGAAGAATCTAAAACTCTTGCTTCCATAATCTTTAACTAGGCAAAATGGGGCATCATAGGGCAATAGTTTTTGAACCACGTTATTTCAAATGGACTAGTTTATAGAATGCATATGAAATCTAGGACACATGACTACTACAAGGGGAATGAAATTTAGGGAAGTTGTGACTGCTGCAGTCATGTGCACAATATTCTGTGACACTTAACCTGCCTACTGGCCTTAGACTTGCAGTTTTTCTGACTTCCCCACTGTGGTTTTTCTGCAGTCTTCCCATAAGCAAAATAAGCTGTTAGAAATTCTGGGAAAGTGAAGGCGGAAGGAAGGAAGGTTCCTAATGTTTTCTGCCAACTTCCCACAAGGAAGCTCAATGGGGAACCTGGATAGAAATCATTTCCACGCTCACTGCTGTTTTGCCCACCCATGGTCACTCTGTTTCTCTGTTTAGTTAAGGAAATGTCTCTAAAAACGATGATTGTCACAGGTTGTCTAATATACTACTAAGACTTTTGTGTCTATTTGATTGTTTATAAACTTTAATTGAGTAAAACAGTGCATGATAGGGCAACAGTTTTTGAATCAACATATCTCAAATGGGCTAACTTAGAGAATGTGTCTAAAATCCATGGCCCTCAAGAGACTGAAATTTGGCGAAGTTGTGGCCACTTTACTACTGCTGTGTTGCTGCACTGCCTGTAGTCACATTTCTGACACTCCCTACCAGCTTCCAAAAAGGAAAGTCTGTTGGGAAACAACAGAAAGATGGACGTTGGGCCTGCTCCCGTTGCTTTTTTGCCATCTGTGGGCATTCTGTTGTTGTTGGTTTTTTTTTTTTTTTTTTTTTTTTTTTTTTTTTTTTTTTTTGAAGGAAAGGAAATATCTCATACAATGACCCGAATATTCCTGGGTTGTCTAGCAGCCTTTCCTTAAATGTAGCATTATGTTAATCTAAAGTTGCTGATGTTTAACAAGTTTTTCCATTAATGGAATATACATTTTTACAGAATCATTCATTAGACTTAATTGTGGGCAGTTCTGTGCCTTTTTAAAAAAAATCTGAAAAAAATTTACATACAGGTAGCTCAGTGCATTAATGCAAAATACCTTAAAACATTTTGGTTAATCATAATAGTATTGCTCAAGTTAATTTTGGATTATCTTCTTTAAGACCAATAACTTATCTGTATTTTAAAACTGAAGTGATATATGCTTCACCCCACTTTATTTTTCTGTCATTTCAGATATGTTATGTTTAGTTATGAGATTCCAATATAGAAAACCCTTAATTAGTAATCTTCATATTAAATATGTGTGCCTTTTATAACTGCATATTTTCTTTTTAAATGTCCATAACTTCTGGCAGGTCATGCCAAATGTGTGGAAGTTGTAAAGACTTTCAATTTGCCTCTTTTGATGCTTGGAGGAGGTGGATACACCATACGCAATGTTGCTCGATGTTGGACTTATGAAACTGCTGTTGCCTTAGACTGCGAAATTCCTAATGGTAAATATTATACTAAAAAGTGCAGATTGCCTAATAATCTAAATTATAATTACTATAAGTCACTTAGACTTTTCTCTGTCTTAACAAAATCCTGATTTCAGGAAGAATTTTGTACATTTTTGTATACAAACATTGTGATTTTGAGTGGCACCACCCAAAAGCCCTACAGTTCTAATTTCCTGCAAAAATTTTCAGGCGCTATTCTAGCCCTGCTTCTCCCTCTGTGTTTTGGCTTCTTGGCTCCAAAACTTGGTTACATATTTGATTCTTGCTACACTCAACATTTTCATTTTACATCGTGCTGTCCAGAAAGGACTGCCAAAGTTACCCTTCACATAGCTTTCTATGTTCATCTCTTCCTTTGAGTCCTTCATGAAAGTAGCATACACTATTGCTGTAGAATCCAAACATCATTTCTGTAGCTAGTTATTACCTTATACTCCCAGTTCCTTTATCTTCTAACTGAAGGCTTTGTAATCTCCAGAGTTTCTTTCAAGATCTCTTTTGTCCATACCATTAATTCCCATATGAATCAAAAGGATGGTGGGTTTGGATAATGTTGGTAATATTTAGTAGGGGGCATTGGGAATGACCTTGAAGGATAAGAGAGAGCTGCTATCAAGGCAAGGGCCAGATAAGAGGGGCTTGTGCCTGGGCCAAAAAACCATCTCAAACAAGCCCCTTCCTAAATTGCACATAGATAAAGTGAGGAAATTCATACTTGCAAGGTTCTTTTACTATAGTTGTTACAATAAAAATAGTCCTGATCTTTGTGGTATTAACGTTTCAGCCTGGTCTGTCTTGTTAGGCTGACATCTCTCTCTCTCATATTATGGAAAAAGCAGTGCTTCGCCTGTATCTTGCTTATTCTTCCATCTGTTCCAACTCCTGTTAATCTCTATTTGTTGTCTGTTTGCTCTCAGTGATCTCACTCTCTGGAAACATGCTTAAATTTTCAGTGTAATATTTATACTGTACACTAAAATATACTGTACAGTGCAACTGTGACTTGTAATTGTTACAATTATAGGTTAAGGATATTTTTAATGAAAGTGGGGGATGTTCTATCTTAAAGTAATATGTATGTATAATATGTTCCCAAGCAAAATGTCAATATGTTTATTTCCCCCCTTTGAATCCAGTGTATTTTGCAGTACTTAAAAGGCAACCTTAATATTTTGATATGTTTGTATGAGCATATTATCATAAGACTTATATCATCCTATTACAATGTATTCCTCTGTTGACTAAGAGAGACATTTTTTTTTGTAACTATTACTTCCCTACTGAAGTTTCTACTTGTGGTTGGGTAATTATTAAAAAGTAAAAGTTCAACTGATGCTTCTTGAATGCAGTAGTTGATAAAAAATACTTATTAAAAATAATCTTAATAATATTAAAAATAAATAAAACACATAAAACCCTATATGTAATTATGTTTGTAAATTGTTTAACTTTAGACAGTGATTTAAATAAATTGTTTAGTCCTTCCAGTCAGTATATGGAAATGTCCATCCAGTTTTCTTGATAACATTTTCAGATGTGGTTGGTCAGTGCCTTCTTTCTCGGGGAATGACTGACTTGGTCACCTGGCTGAGTTCCATGCGTCAGTCAGAATTAACACTGCTCTCCTCCCAGATTTTCACTCAAGCACTTTTAACCACTGCATAAAAATTATTATGTGTGGTACTATGTATAAAACACTTATTTCAAATTTTTGAAGTAAATATTTTAATTGAATTATTTAAACAGTCTTTTCAGGCGTGTACAATACAGATTCATTTTTTCAAGCTTTAGTAATTCAAAAGAGACGTATGTTTGGAAGCACCTCTTTTGAAGAACTTTTATATTGTACCTTATATTATACTTGCATAGCTTTAAATGAATACATATACTTCATGTTTAAATCAATACATTACAAAATTCTAGGTGTCAAACATTGAAACAGAAACATGACCGAAGAAAATCACTTCTTGTGACAATACAGACCCTATTTTTTATCTTTATTTTATAGAATATAAGTATTCTGCATGTACATAACATAACAGTATTGGAATCACACCATAATTTTAAACCATAATATCTTTTACTTCTATTTCTCCTAGAATAAATCTTTGTATTTATTCTTTTGATAACTGAAAAAAATTATAATAATAATTTCAAATAGACTAATATGATCTGTAAGACTGCTAATGGAATTCAGCAATAAAAATAAAGTTATATCTTAATTTTGTTTTCACAGAATTGCCATATAATGATTACTTTGAGTACTTTGGACCAGATTTCAAACTGCATATAAGCCCATCAAACATGACAAATCAGAACACTCCAGAATATATGGAAAAGATTAAGTAAGTATTAATGTTCTATTTTTAATAAAGATAATAATGCTGTAAAAATTTGTAAATATTTTATTAAATAATCAGTAATAATAGGAGACAAAGAATGGGTGTGCTAATTACATCTGGGGTCTTAAATAGTATAGAAAATGAAACCTGACAGTGTATCCATTTAGTAATTCAGAAGAAATTTCACTTTTCTTATTTTAAACTACCTATATTAAAATCATTTTCGCTTAAAAAGTAAACTCTGTGGTAAGTCTCAGAAACCATTTCTATCATTAATGTTCATAGCTTGCATATTATTTTGAAAACTGGAATACCGTAAATGCCGGCGTATAAGATGACTTCTGCAAGCGCTGAAATCTGCGCCAAAGACGGGGGTCGTCTTATACGCCGGGTCGCCTAATACGCCGGCATATACGGTATGTTATCACTATGAAGTTACAGTAATATTTAGTAAATTTACATTGAACATTGAGAATAGGATAATTGTTCAAAGCTTGTATTAAAATTGTGTGAACACTTAATGCAGATATGTTTGTGATTACAGAAGACTCATTTGTTACATTGGTCGTGTTTTTTCTGTAAATTTCTGTTGGCCATAGTCCTATTGCCATATAACTTACAAGCAGTTTCTTGTAACCAGGAAGTTAATATTGTTGATACTTAAGACAGAGACAAAGTTGTTTCTTAGTAAACTGTTTTCTTTGCAGGCAGCGTTTATTTGAGAACTTGCGCATGCTGCCCCATGCTCCTGGTGTACAGATGCAAGCTATTCCAGAAGATGCTGTTCATGAAGACAGTGGTGATGAAGATGGTGAAGATCCAGACAAGCGTATTTCTAGTAAGTAAATTTTATATGTAATCTAAGCAATTTGCCTTAAATGTTGGCCATGAATTTTTGGATTTTGCTTCCAGTTTTTGAGGAGAAAATAATTAAACCACAATCCTTATTATCCTAGTACAGTTGCTTTTTTGAAGAAAAAGTCACCTTGCTTTTCTGTAATTGCTTGTGAATGGATATAAATAAATAATTGCTTTTTTTAATGCGATGTCACAGCTTGGTTTAAATGTGTTCCCATAATTTTGTTTCTTTTTACACCATTTGTTCCATAGTTACCCAAAATCAGTGTTTGGTAGCACCTTTTTTAAGATCAGTAAATTTTATTAAAAGACATAAGCTTTATGAGTTGCAGCTTATATCATCAGATGCATGGAGTGGCTTAACTGATATCAAATTTAAATAGGGATGGAGGGTGATTATGCAAATGAGGTTTCATGGGGGAACAGATTACAAGTACCTTATCAATTAATAATAGTAATGTATTAAAAATTCATTCAGTTTGTTCAAACCTTCTGAGATAGCCTGAACATAAAAATTATAACAGCACAACTGAGTACAAGACAACTGAATTTATCTACATCAGTAGGTATCAGGTTACCATGTCTTTTTGTTGTTGTTAAATACTTTTGTCATTGCTGAACAGCCTTTATGTCATCAGGTAACATTTTGAAGAGATATGAAAGATCTTGGAATAATCTCTTTTTAAAATGTCCATATTAATTCTAGTTCGGGCTTCTGATAAGAGGATAGCCTGTGATGAAGAATTTTCTGATTCTGAAGATGAAGGAGAAGGTGGACGCAGAAATGTTACAGATCATAAGAAAGGAGCAAAAAAGGCACGCTTAGAAGAAGACAAAAAAGAGGCAGAAGACAAAAAAGCAGGTAAGTCAATGCCAAATTAAACACACTTTCTGTTAAGCTAACCATACCAAATTCACTTGTAAGCAAATTCTGTAATCTTTTTGGCATATAATTATAGCCCCTTTCAAATGTTCAACTGAATAAATAAAAGCTAGACAATTGGACTAGGCATGGAGCCACATTATCTGTTCTCTTAAACTATCACACATTCAGATAAAGATATAAAGAGTTATGTTCATATTTGCAAGAATAAGAATATGATCTTGGATCTTGTTTTATCTGCTTCCTGGAAAGTTGCTTCATGTGCAAAGCTGTGCAAAATTAAAATGAATACAAAGTAACTATCCTTCAGGCCCCCAGTCACGTGTGGAGCTCAAAATAACAACAACAACAAAAAACCCATGGGGTTACAGAATTTAATTCTCTCTTCCCTTTGAAACCCCCCCCCCATTGTTCATCTAATTGAATGAAGAAAACTTTTTATGATAATATCCAGCTAAGCTCAGACATTTGATGACTTCAACCAAAGTAACTGCAGTGCCGTCTTCCTGGGTCAAGAGGAGGGATGCAAAAGTGCATAAGTTTTGCTTAGGTCACAAAAATTTTGTAATACTGTAAATAGTACATATTAAGGTGAACTGCCATATTTTCTAGATCAGTGGTTCTCAACCTTTTTAATGCCACGACCCCCCAACTGGTCGTAAGTCGAGGACTACTCAACTGGTGCAGCACCGTTTGCAGAATGGGACTTTTGGCGGGCTCAGCAGGGCAGAGACAGCCTGGACAATTCCTATTGGCTAATTTATTCTAGAGTCTAATTTATTCTATTGGCTTTCAAAAGCCAATAGGATAAAAGGGAGTAGCACAGCTAAGGAAAAGGGGAAAAAAATGGTGGACTGCGTTGTTTGGCAACCCCCATGAAATGGTCGTTCGACCCCAAATGGGGTCCAGATCCACAGGTTGAGAACCACTGCTCTAGATTATCCCCAATGCATATAAATTGATTGTGAAATTGATAACTAATTTCAAAGGTGCAGTTTCATTTTTTATGTGAGCTGTAATCCTATATTTATTTACCTGGGAGTTCTGTTAAAGTGAATGAAGATTATTTCTTCATCATATAACTGTTTATACTGTTTATGCAGATTGCTGCTTTTTATTTCTAGATATTAAAGAAGAAGACAAATCTAAAGATAACAGTAGTGAGAAAGTAGATACCAAAGGGTAAGTATATTCCATCTGAAAAGTCTATATCCGCTTTTAAAATGTTATTGAAATTTTAATCATCTACTTGCTACCCCTTAAAAAAGACAATAATTCTGTATTGGTAACAATTGCATTTGTTTATAGTGTATGCTTGAATGGATGAGGCCAGTCCATTCCCATTAGGAGGCAATTTCCAGAATTTTCTGAAGGTGAAATAGATGCCAAGCTTAAAGCACCCACTTTGGCCCATAAAAGTTCTCCAAAATCAAAAAATGAACCCAGCTTTCAGCCCAAACTATTTGTAGGGCTCTAGAAAGCACAAAAAGGAGGTTTATAGCCTGCATTCAGATTCTGGACTGCACTTTTTGCATAATGTAAACACAATATTAACATGTGACCTACACTAATAACTGTCTTTTCTTTCTGCCCCCCCCCCAGCACAAAATCAGAACAGCTAAGCAATCCTTGAACACAAAGCCTTACAGTATGTCAATCAAAGGACCCAATACTATAATGGGAAAAAAAATACTAAGAGAAGTTTTTCGTACTGGAAGAGACATTTTATTTTCATTTAGTAGAATTTGGCATGGAGCATATTTATTTTCAAACAACTGTGTTTTGATTTTTGGCAACTTGTATTGTGAATTCCCCAATTATGATACAAAATTTGTTCCTTCCACCAGACTTTATGTAATACTATTTAAAATGGATGTGAGTTAAGATGTAGTTAAACGTCTAAACTGATCTATTAAAATTTCCCTTTTCCCGGATTGATTTTATCCCCTTTTTGTAATTATATCTTTATTAAAAAACAAACAAATTGTACTTGGCTGATTTGTCTATTATTACCTAGTATATACAAATGTATATATCATACTACTGTTACGAAAAAACCTGGTTAACCTTGAAATTGAGTTGAGTTTGGTGAAAAATATTTTGGTTATGCCCCGGCTTTAAAATAATTGCCATTGGATAAGATTGTGCACTCAGGTCCAAACATATATGAATACACAGTAATTCATGGAACTCTTTTTATCTATTTGCTGGTAGGAACGTGGGAAAGGTTTTTTGTTGTTGTTGTTTTCTGTTTCCCCAAATCAATGCAGTCTTTGCTTATGTGGAAGCATACACCATACCGCTGCAGACCAATATCTTTCTGCTGACAATCTTGTATGTGTGTGGGGGGGGGAGTGGCAGATCAGGTGAGCTTTCCAGATATAACAACATCTTAATATGGCCTATGCCATGGTCCTTTTACAAACCAGAAGTAGCATCTTTATTCATAGGATTGTTTGAGGCATAATTGAAATAACTGGCATTTTATTTCTGCACAAAAACAATAGTTGATAAAATCACAATGAAATCCATTGTTCTGGTTCCTCTTCCAAATCCAGCAAACCGTGAGCTAAAACAGTTAAACTTTAGCAATTTGTTTAACTGTAAAGTTGTTTGTTTGTTTCTTCATTTAAAAATTATTTCAGTAAGGAGAAGAAAAAATATAACAAATCCTCATTTTAACACATCACTGGGAGAATAGATAGTTATTTCCAAATGTCTGTTATATTCAGAAATACATCATTCACACATTATAGAGCATTTGCTTCCTACATCATCTTTGCAATACACACTTTGATGTCACGCATGCCATTGAATTAATTTAAAATTAAGATAAATGTAATTGCCTCATCCAGACTATTTCAGATGCAACAGATGCCCTTGTTTGGGGGAAACCCAAGTGTAACTTCAGTTTGTTGCATCTGAAATCCACTAAATGGATTAAATCATTAAATCAAGGCTTCATTGTGTTGCCGAAAGAAAAGAAATGGCTACGTAAAGATGATGTAGAGAAGTATTTATTTGAACTCATGTGTCATCCAGAGCAATTTTTGGAGACCCTTTTGATTGCAGAGACACTGTTATGAGTCTCTGTGAGACACGGGAATAATATAATTTGCCTCAAAAACAGTTTTCATTGCCTTGATAGCTTCGTACAGCACTTCCAATGGGTTGAATTTCTGTTTATTGCTGTCATTCGTATCTAAAGCCAATCTATCCTAATAGCTTGGAAATTCTCAAAATCTGGTTTCCAACAAGTTTGGATGGCAAGTGGGTCAGAGATATGTTCCTTGCCTTTTGGCCAGCGATTTACATATAGCAAATGTTGACTTATAATGGATTCACAATTTATTATTAATTTTTGTAACCAATCATTTTCTAGCAACCAGCCTTCAAAATCTAACCAGACTATTTCAACAACATGTAAATCAATGCAGATGCCAATTGCATCAGCAATTAGAATTTAAAAAAAATGGGATTTCTATCTTTGGCCAACTTCAGTCTTTTCATAACAGCTTCTTCCTGAAGACAGGCACTTGTGGTTAACCATATTAATACACAATTTGTACAGGATTTCACAGACAGATGTCAAGTATTTGTATGTATTTATTTTTAAAATATAATGAATACTGAAGCATTTTCTATAACTTGCATGGTAAGAGTTTTATATTTAAACAGATCCAAAGACTTATGTAGTTGTTGATGTTGTTAAGTATCCCTCTAGTATTTTGTAATATTTAAATTTCTGTTTATAGGAAATTCTTTGCATCAGTCTGCCCAACCTCATTGGCACATACTCGAGCACAGATGGTACAAAAATATACAGTGGCCAATATTAACATTTGGCTGGTCACCATCTTCAGGAGTTTTTGGCTACAGTATTGATATTCTGGGTTGTAAATAATGCATTAACACTGAGAATATATCCTGTGGATGCCAAGAAGAGGACATCCAAGTTGGCAATGGGCAGACAGAAATGAGTATCATCAAATAGCTTTCATTGATGTTCAATGCCAATATTTTCTTCCTGATTAAATTGCCAGGACTAGCACATAATGAGCTACGCTGCAGGCAAATGTTCATTTATCTTGTCAGCTTTGACCAAGTAGCATCAAACTCCAAGCAAACAAGCAATTTTATCTGCAAAGAAACTTGCAAAAGTGTCATAGTATTTATCACCATAATGTAAAAAGATGTTGAGACTCTAGAAATTAGAATGCAGAGAAGAGCAACAAAAGTGATTAGGGGACTGGAGGCTAAAACATATAAAAAATGATTGCTGGAATTGGGTATGCCTATTTAATGAAAAGAAGGACTAGAGGTGACATGATAGCAGTGTTCCAATATCTAAATAGTTGCCACAAAGAAGAAGGAGTCAACCTATTCTCCAAGCACCTGAGGGCAGGACAAGAAGCAATAGATGAAACTAATCAAGGAGAGAAGCAACCTAGAAGTAAGAAGAAATTTCCTAACAGAACTATCAATGGAACAACTTGCCTCCAGAAGTTGTGGGTGCTCCAATACTGGAATTTTTAAGAAGAGACTGGAATGGTATAGGGTTTCCTGCCTGAGCAGTGGGGTTGGACTAGAATACCTCCAAGCTCCTTTCCAACTCTTAGTCTGTTATTCTGTAAGTATAGAGATAGCTTTGAAGTATATATCAAAAGCCATTAGGTAAACACAGCTTAGCCGTGAATGGAAGCAGTAAGTCAGGAGGAAAATGCCCTGCCTTGATTCTGAGAGTGTCGGGTTTCACTAAGTGTAGAGAAATAGATGTTTCACTATCATTATCACCATGCCAGATATGATTATACAATTTTGTTTCGTTGCATTTTGGCTTTGTTTTTTGCTACCGTTGCTCTAGGTATCTTTTAATTATCACTTTCTACAACTTCTCAGAAAAACCAGAGACTCCCAAGATCTGAGGTCCCAGAGGGGCCACTTGGGGATAATCTTGTCTAACACTATAATTACCTTTAGGATTTAGTACCATGTTCAAATTCACTCTCCTCCAAATTCCAGAGATCAACCAATGTGTTTAATTCAAAATAATATAACATTTATCTTTACAGAAGCTATACAGATATAATTTGTGGACTCATCTTTTGATCCTTTATATTTATTTATACAAGGTAAACATATATAATCAGTGGTGGGATTCAGCCAGTTTGCACCACTTCGGCAGAACCGGTAGTTAATTTTTTGTTGCCCAGGCCCAGAATTGACTTCCGGAAGCAGCATCCACACAGAGAATCAGTTTTTCACATGTGAATCCCACCATTGTATATAATGATATTTATACAAGGAAATAATATTATAATTGTTTTTAAAAATTTTCAGTAGTTTCAATGGCAATGTTTCAAAAACCTAAGTGTAAAGCACTATTTTCTGGTTAATGGCTACATGTAGAAAAGGCTTCATTATTCATATTATAAGATATCAAAAATCCTCCATGCATGAGCTTTTAAAGGTCATGGTACAATTCCAGAGCAGTTGCAATGGGAAAGATATGGTTAAGTTTCTCCTCTTGTATACAGCCACTTGGCTTTTTTTTAAAAAAAGTAGGTGCTTTATAAAAAGCCTAGAAAATTAAGGGAAAGTGAATCGGGAAATTTCAGTGTTGAATAACATTTACAGTATATGATTATTGGTGATATATAAGGAACCCTTTTCCTCTGTATACTGTATAAGGTACAATCTTCGTGAGTCATCTGTATCCACAGTTGTCTCTTATAGTTAACATAGTTTTCTCGTGAGTTTAACACACCAAACATTGATCAATCAAGCTTTGTCTACACAATATACAAGCCAAAACAGGGTTGTCTTAGGTTTATAATGAATTAAAGAAAGACTCTGCTTTTAGTTGAGTGCAACTGGACAATCTTAAATTTAATTGAGCAAGTATACTAGATAACAGCAAACAAGCAAGAATTGTCATTTTAATGTATATAAAAGAATGGCTGTTCAGAGAGCCAATGAATAATTAATTCTGAGTAAGACATGCCTTTGGATCTTTCCAGAGTTGGTTGATGGGGAAAGAGAAATAAAGCAGCAACAGGAGCACAAAAACCAGCAACCTGAAGGCCTCAGGCCAATTTGAAGAACAATCAGTGACTATTGTATTCTCAACTGCATTCTGAGATTTCATTTATTAATATCTGCAGAGGAATGAAACTTTGTTTTTTATTATTTTGTTGCTACTCAAACAATATGTCAATCTGAGCCTGAAATATACATTCCATGCAGCTTTTGGAGAGGAGAAAGCAGAATCATCTAGGTTTCCAAGACTAAATCTTTTAAAATAGTTTTAATAGAATGAAAAACATGATAAAGGAATAAATAATACGAGATAAAAATCATAACAAACATTTGCTTGTGGGTGTTAGATTCTAATTGCTTCAGAAATCATTCACCAATTATTTCTCAAATTGAATCTTCTAGAGCTGGAAGGGAATTCCCCTGTGCTTCATTCTGTCTCTCTTTGTTTTGGATAACCCTGCATAACTTCTTCCTCATTTGCTGGACCAGTGCTTTTTTTCTAAAAAAAAAAGTGCCGGAACTCACACACGTCATACAACCTGCCTTGCCTACTCTATAAGGTTCCATCCCAAAAAGGTGCCGGAACTCCGTTCTGGGCGTTCTATGAGGGAAAAAAAGCCCTGTGCTGGACCATCCTTCTAAACCAGTGTTTCTCAACCTTGACAATTTTAAGGCACTTGGACTTCAACTCTCAGAATTCCACAGCCAGCATTGTTGGCTGTGGAATTCTGGGAGTTGAAGTCCACGTGCCTTAAAATTGTCAAGGTTGAGAAACACTGTAAAAGGAACGATATTCCCAAACATACCCAGACCAAACATCACTTGAATCCATATTCCAGGCTGAGTTCCCAATTAACTATGTTAAATAGCATAGAGTCTGTCTACAAGATCCCTCATAACGTCACTATTTTTCCATGGAAGCTATTCTCATCCCTTGGGACCTCTGCCCA